TGAAAGTACGAACGCAAATACAACCATGCCCGAGGAGGGACTCGAACCCGCGATCCTTCAGATTGAGATCGCTACGACACTATTGTTAATACTACATACTACTGCTACTTAGTTACAATGACGGGAAGGGATTCTGAAACTCAACGTGCGCAGATAATATTGTCCCCCCTACGTCACATAGTTTTTACGTTTTTTTTTTTGTTTTGTTTTTTTCTTGTTTTTTTTTTTCTTTCTTTTTTTTCTGAATAAATCTAAATCTACTGCCTTCACGATATCGGCCATCCGGACGACCCATTCTCCTTTGTACGTGAACAGCAACCAACATTCAGGGTTGTCATCTGTCCTTTTGGAGGACTTGTCCTCCTCCTTTAACACTGTCCTCCTGTCCCTTTTTAAATTTACATGGCATGCCTTTTAAATTTAGATGCATTATTGTGTTATAAAACTTATTTATGGTTATTGTTTGGTGGAAAATGAAGGTGAGAGCGAGGGCCAATATATCTAATTAGAAACTTTCATTATTAATGACGCAAAGTTTAATTTGATTTTTAAAGACTATTAATGGTTTGGAATTGTTGTCTATACACGTTGAAGTATAAAAATGTAAAATGTCCTCCTGTTCACTGAAATGTCCTCCCTTTTTTAAGTAAAATGTTTTCCATTGAGAAAAACTTTTCGGGTAACTCAGATTTTACTCTGATCCGAAAAAGTTCGGTCGAATACATTCGCCTTATTTTCACGGTGTGCATAATGCTCATGCAAATGGCCGCTTCTCAATTGCTCGAGAACCGGAACGGCAGTGCCAACGGGAACGTAAAGAATGTTGAAAGATGATTATGCCACGAAATTTTCACAATACGTACAGTGCGCCAGGAAAATCCTCCCTCCTACATGATCTTCTCCCCCATACGTCACATACAGTTTTTACTGTTTTTTGAATAATACATTTATAAAAGTATCTCCGCACCGTGCCGAATCAGGGCGTTCTAGTAAAAATTGCATTTATGTTGGCAGCAACCAGATCTCTAGGAAACAAGTGAAGAGACAACACTTATAGGCCTATTATGATTGTGGTGAGCACGCAATTTACGTTTTCTTTTATTACAAGCGGCAGTTCGTGCTACCATCATAATTTTTGCTGTAAACCATCACCTCAATCAAGGTGCCACTGCGGAGAGATTTTCCTGGTGCACTATATGAAAGGGTAATAGAGTCAACACCCCCCCTTCTTTGGATTCATCTTGACCCACGAACCCATACGCTCTAGACTTATTAAAAGACATCAAATGGAGAAGTGCACAAGATCGAACGCGCGAGAATGCACTGGAGCTGAGAGCATAGTGCGATTTTGAGGAGCATGGATTTGAGAAAAATTGAAGGTTTAGAGCAATACACAAGCGGTGGTATGGAAAAGAAATAGAATAATTCGAAAGTCCTTCAATATCACTGAAACAGCCAAGACATGATACGTAGAAGAAACAAACATTGATAGATGAGATAATTAAAAATAAATAATGTAAACTGAATGGGAGAGGACACGACGTAAGCGCACAGAAACGAATGAACTCTAGAAACCAATGTGACGATACATACAGGTAAGTAGATGAACCAAAGAGTATCTAGAACAACGCAGCTAGAAGAGCAATTGATTCTGCAACTGTTTCCTGAAGTTCTGTTTTTTTAACAATGGCATAGCGCGTTTCTTCTTCCGATGGATAAAAAAATTAAACTAAATTCTGTATTTCTTCTCACCCCGCCTCACATTTTATCTATCCCATACTATCCGTAACTATTGTCTTGAGAGGGGAGGGGTCCCCCACTCCCTCACCATTTCTCTTCTCTCTATTTCACCATTGATTGCCCATTGAGGTAGCCACGACCCTTCTCAGGTAGTTCCTGGGTTCTCAGAGCCTTTAAGAGCTAAGATAAAACATTTCAAATATACCGCGCTCAAGGTCGTAAAAATCCCGAGCCACATTGCAGAGAGTAAATAAAAATTATCTAATAAAATATAACATTTTCAAACTCCTTCGCAGCGGGCTAACACGGTGCAACACTGTCCAGAGCGCTGCGGTAGACAAATTCTTGGAACAGTAGCCAATTCCCATTAAGACATCATTAGTTCGCATTGTTTAAATCGACTGCAGATCCAATTGGGTTCTCAGCTAGTTCCATCGCCTAGATGGCGCTGTGATCCTTGGCTCCTTAGCGGAACGATGGTTAATGATAGGATATGGTAGGGAATGATTGATGGAACATACCGGTGGAATGCATGTCATCAAGGGAAACGGGAGAACCCCGAGAGAAAACCTGCCGCGAACCAGCTTTGTCCTTTCCTTGGTATCGCCTGGGATCGAACCCGGCTCCAGTGGAGGAAGGCTTGCAGTCTGATTACTACGACACGGGCCGCACTCTCTTCGCGTTGACTGTTATTGCGAGGCGGGGGCATGCCCGGTCTCGGACAACTATGAAGTGGCTTTCGGCGATCAGCGCACGGCAATCGCCAAGACTGGCCCTCTCGCCCCAAAAGACTCAGACTGTTCTGAACTGCATTCAAGATCATGGGACCGGCATAGATAAGCGATGTTTGTTGAATCAACACTTCACTGGGTCAACGTAGAGAAAGTTCACGAGTAACGTCGTTCGTTTATTTACGGAAGTGTGAAAGGTTATGGTAGAGCAGATAGAAAGTAATGCTAACGAAATATTCACACAACCAGACCGTTACCCTGTTTCTATTCTTTTACCAGTCTATCCTAGCTCCTAATTCAAAAATCTTACATAAAATGGGCTTATGGCACTTCTACTGCGACGACTATGAATATTTGCTGAATTCGTCGGAAATCCTGGGAGATTTTCTATCATTATATCTGTATATTTAAAATACTACGAGGTTTCCTATAAAAAGACGTTTTAGATTTATATTTGTTACCACATATGCGCAGAAATTTATTCAAATTTGGCGCATAACCTCAAATAAATAATTATAAGCTCTCCTTGGCATAAAGTAAGAGCTAAGATACACCATTTCAAATATCCCGCGCTCAAGGTCGTAAAAATCCCGAGCCACATTGCAGAGAGTAAATAAACATTATCTAAGAAAATATAACATTTTCAAACTACTTTGTCGCGGGCTGACACGGTGCAACACTGTCCAGACCGCTGCGGTAGACAAATTCTTGGAACAGTAGCCAATTCCCATTAAGACATCATTAGTTCGCATTGTTTAAATCGACAGTAGATCCAACTGATGACGGAACACGTCGCACACGGAGCAGAAGACATTTTCTCGTAGTTCTGCGCTTTTTAGTGGTTATTGACGCTCAGCGCTTTATCGAAATTCCTTGGAGGCGACGTAAATATTTTATTCCGTGAGCATTTTCTCGCGCGGGAAGGCGGTAGATGTGAGCACGGAGATGAGATTTGGAGGAAACGTGAAAATAACCCAAATACAGAATGACACATAATATATTTCTTGAAAAACGTAGTGTTGGAAATCAGATTGTAACGTCGACGTGTGATGAGAGCCTAATTGTTCCATTTTCAGAGGCGAGAACCATTAGATATTTGCTTAGAATCGCTGGCGACGTAAATATTTGCAGCTCTCCCAGCGACGGTTAAAAAACGTATTTCGATGCCTTAACAATATTCAAGCAAAATTCGTAACATTTTTTCTTTAAATGAAATGTAGTTGACTCAATAGATACTCATCACTAGATCTATTAACCGGTTTTATAATATAAGCACTAAATATTTTTTCCTCGGTCTTTTATTCAGCCAACAGCCGTTACGTCCCAATGGGTCGCGACTTCGGCCATACACTAGAAACCAAAACATTAGCAGCCTCCAGTAATCTGCAAAACGCGAGGCCTTTCGCGACAACACATACATCAGCTAGAAGGGACAAAGAATCATGCCCAAAGCAGGACTCGAACCCGCGACACTTCGGATCGAAACGCTGAGTCGATGCGAGCTCTTAGACGCTCTGACATCCAGCTCGACTAAATATTAATATCTTAAAATGAATCCTGTAGTTTTCTTTTCAGTCAATTACCGTCAAATTTCAACGGGATTCCACTAATTCTGTTTACTTTCATCTGGCCAAGACGAACTTCAGGTTCCTAAAATCGGCCCAAATATTTTCCTCTAGCTGATACTCTGGCGTTGGCCGTGTATTTATTTACCACAATCTTCTCCTAAGCCTACCCGCTGCGCTTTTCCGCCCTCCCTCTCCTCTGCTCTGCCCCCTCACGCTCGGCACACATTCTCAACTAGAAGCCCACACCCCTACGCGATAAGACTGGAGAAACTCAATGAAAAAATTCCTGAGAGATGACTGGTGCTCCATCTCTCTCTAGGGGAATAAACGGTTACAGCGTAAACGCTCAAGACCACTCTCTTTTTGTTGTCAAGAAATACAAGTGCTTAGTAGTAACCTACGAATAAATGTATTTTCTCACGATTGTCCTATTTTCAATCCATTACTGATCAAAATACAACATGCGATGTTTCGAATTGGAAAAATCTAGAGATCTTAAATAAACGAACTTGATCATGATCGTTGATTACTCTTTGTTGGTAAACAATACGATTCTCGACAAGAATTTTGGATTTCTTTCATTAATGCCGCATTCTTAAGCTACTAGCAACACACTTGAATATCACCTTTGACCCCTTTGGGAAATATTTTGATTATACCTTTTTTTGAATGCGGATTTATCATATTTTATGACTTTTGCATATCTACTTTAGCAAACATAAATGCCATTACAAAGATGCTTTTTTTGCCTACTTTGGGGACAATAAAAGCCTGAATTTTCAGACTCTCTTTACCACAATCATTTATTAGTTAGCAAAAGAAATTAGTTCTATCTCTGAATTAAAATGTGAGTCATTTTATCAGAACTCCTGCCACGCCCTTCCCTGCCCCACCGCGCTCACTTTAACTTTGCCCCGCCCGCCCCGCTCTATCACGCTCACTTCCCTTCTCCCCGGTCCTTCTACCCCCGCCTCATCAACACCCTCTCTTCCACCTCTTCCATTCCAGTACCCTCAACCTTTCCCTCTCGCCTTGCACTGCCCCGTGTGTCCGTGGACATACCATTCGCTGTCCCCTCGGCTACAAAACAATACCTTAAAACACAAATGTAATGCGGGCTGCATGAAACAAAATTTTGAAAAAAATAGGGCTAACATTTTGAAGCGCAACCTCCACCATTTTAATTCTCGACCACTCAAAAGTAAGGCCTTCGTGCTAAGTTTGAGAACAACCACTCTAGTGGGTTTTTTTACATGTGTATGTGCGATATACTTGTATGTACATATTTTCACTGCTGTAAATAGTATCTAAAAACGAAAAAATATGGAATAAGCGAATACTCCCTCTACTACAATACTATTATCTGGTAAATGAAAGTTCAAATAGTTTCACTATTATTACATTATATGCCATTTTATTAGTGTTTATTTTATTGCGGAGTTAACGGTTACCGAATCAGGAAAATCTTTCGTATTTCTCTGATTATTTCCTTGTTCCTTTTATAACTTACATATAAACGTTTTTTGAGCTAGTGTGCAAGCGTCTATATTTTCTCGTATATATTTATATAGAAGGTTAGGTAATGAAGATCAATTTCGAGATTTGAACGCAAATACACGTTTTAGGGTCCCCTGATAACAAAAAAAAGTTTTTTTTTCTTTTTTTCTTTTTCTTTTTTCTCAAATTGTCCGACCTACTGTTCGTCCATCTGTGAACATCATTAGCTCCTAGGCTCTTGGTAGGATTCTTCACAAAATGAATGTTCGCCGGTCGATCTAGCTCGACTCAAAACTCGGCACTTTTGGAAAACATTTCTCAAGTTTTGAGGGTATTTTACATGAAGCTCTTTGGACATTTGGAAAACTTCTTCAAAAATCGCTGTACATTTTTTCTTTAAATTTCTTTCAAGAATAGATAGAAATACACTTACAAAATGGTATAGACCCGATTTTCACTGTTAACTCTAAATTTTAGAAAATTGTAAAAGTTTGAATTTTCTGCGTTTACCAAAATTATTGTACAACTACAATATTGAAAATAACGATTTTTTATTCAGATAAAATGTAATTATCGTCAATTAGTTATTTCACTAACGTAAAGCACATGTTTTGAAAATTTGAGTTTTCGCCGATTTTGAATGAAATATAGGTTCATCCGTCTGTAAACAACACTAGCGCCTAAACAATTCGTAGGACTTTTTCCAAAATTAATATTCCCCGATCTGGATATGCCTGCCTCAAAGCTCTGAAAATTGCAAAAGTTTCAATTATTTGGATATCCTCTTCCCCCCTTATATTATTGAATATTAAAGATTTTTTAAATAAAATTTATTTTCCACAATTACTTAATTAATTTCTCAAATATTTATTTAAAAATATTACTAGTTTTCGCGTAGTTTTGAGTGAAATATGGACATTTATTGGCGGGAGACCTTTTGTTTGTGTCTGATGTCAGCTGTGCCCTAAGCAGTACTGTGTAAGAGAATTCCTTCAGTTCGCACAGTTAGAGAATAGGCGGAATAATACAATCTAGTATTTGCATTTTCCCGTCAAAATCGGATCAGGTTCATTATTTTTGAATTTTTCAGAGTTCCTGGGTATCATGCGAAACCGGAGATAGTCTAACATAATTGCAGTTATGTGTCCCATTTGAACCTTCTGCACTGTGGTCTTAACCTGGCTCTGTCACTGCATGGATTTTTATTTAAAAATCAAGCCAAAAATTGCATATTTATTGCAGTTCCAGAAGGGGGACGATTTTACTGGAATCCCAATTTCTATACTTTTCTATTTTTACGTTTTCCGTTTAACTGACAGCGCATATGCATACGAGGTCGCTCACAGGAAACCTCTTCTTTGAGGGACGCTGGAAAATCTATCCTTACACCTCGCAAATATATAGTGTCAGTACGTAACGCATACCTTCTGAAGCTTGGAGCTGTGGTACCGAAGGACTGACATCGCAATGCGTTGACGGTGGCGGGGGTGCACTTGCAGACAGCAATGGCGAAACCCGTCGGGTCGGCGACGGTGGCGGCAACGATGGAGACAGTGACGACGGTGGCGGCGACGGTGACGGCGATGGTCTCGGAGACGACGGAGGAGACAGTTGGAGAGGTGTATCCATCATTCCGTCGGCACTGCCTACAAAGCGTCGATCAGTCTCTACCAAACATTCAGAAGGTGTCGACCCAACCGAGCATTGCAAAGATTGCACTGAACAACTGTGAAGACAATACGCCTACTGGTAAGCTACAACTGCTCAACTGTGTTACATAGAGCAGTTCGCTAGGAAAATCTCACTGAGTGCCTGGCTTATCGGGTGCGTGTAATCCTATCAAAGTGAAAGAGGTATCATGGAATGTTATCTCTTCGTTGAATTGTGTTTTGGTAACAGATTACAAGTAGATCTTGATGTGTCAACTGCAAGCCAGATGAGAAGATTGAATTTCAAAAGTTATAATAAGTATTGTAGATCAATATATTTGTTATTTTGTGAAATCGCCTTGTTATTTTTTTCTATTAAGATATCGGTTTTCATTTATTTTTATTAAAATTGGGAAGAGCGAAAATAGGCTAAATAATCTGGACAGAACTAAATATAATGGACAGAAGTGAGCAAAGGTTTCCATATCAAACGCGCTAAACATTTTCCTTGTCCGCTCGTAGATCGTAAGGAAACTCGAAAAGTCAATTTAAACAGATCCTACCTTTCATAAAATAGCCAGTCAATATTTTATTACGTATTTATAGGAAAGTAAAACATTTGGGCGAAAAGACAAATCAAATCACACTCGAAAAGTTTCTGAGGAAGATTCAAGAATTAAATTATTAATAAATCATTTTTGAACATTTATTTACATTTACGGATCGTTTATCGTCCGAAATATTGAAGTTAGAAAAATAGAATATCGGCCTACGTCTGTAAAGAGCTATTATTGCTTCATCGACATAAATGCCGTTCATGAGGAAACTTAATTCAGACAATGTAACTTTATTTTAAAAGCTAATTTCACTAAAATTTATTTTGAATTATGAAACTTGAATACTACACTTCCCTGCTCTTCAATGATTTACGAGTATGCATTCGCATGTTATGTATACGTTTTGTTGTTGCAGAACTTTATATAATTAATAAAATGTTGATATAAGTGAATTGTTGATGTAATTCCAGTTTCATCGGCAACCAACAATGATACGTAACTTACACGATCATATTTCCTGAAATCATCAGCTTTTGAGCATTATCGATAATCTATAACACTAAAGAGGTAACAGTACAAAAAAGGTTGTGGACCTCAGATGAAAGGTACGAGGTGGGTGCCATAAAATTCTGGCCTCGCTAACTTATGTTTTTGATACAGAGAAAAAATTACGTAACTTTTCAACTTATTGATGCTTTACTTCAACCCACGTTTGACATCGGTATACATACTATACTTCGCAAAATGGCCAACTACTTCTTTCACCTCACACTCGGTTGGAATTTTTCTTCCCCGCAGGTTTTTCTTCGGTTTTAATAAGCGATAGACGTCACTGGGTGCACAATCTGGACTGTAGTGTGAATGGTCAAACTCCTTAAAGCCAGAGTCATTCATGCTTCACAAAATGAGTAGTATGCACACATGCGTTGTCATGAAGCAACAAATTAAGAAATTTTCAAAACAATGCACTTTGGGCGGCGATGGTAGCTAGCGAGCGTATGTGGCAAGTCAAATAACTAGCGGAGAGAAAATAAAATAGAAAACTAATATGGGAAAGTCTGTGCCCTTCTGCAGAACTAGCTACTTTCTTATATACGGAGTATTATAGGTAGTACGGGTTATAGGCAGAAAAAATGTATTGCATGACCATGATAACGAAAAAGTGCACAAATTCAGTTGTTAGAATATGAAAAAATATCCTATAACACATGGTGTAGCCAGAATTTGTGGGTTCTTGATACCGAAAAACCAATTGAAGTCAAACCGCCCGTCCGTCTGTCTGAGCACTACTAGCGCCTAAACCATACGTAGGATTTTTTTCCAAATTGAAGAAATCCCTGTCAATCTAGCTCGAGTCGAAGCTTTGAAATATTTTTTAAAAAATCTTGAAAATTTGGGGTACTTTACATGAAGCCCCTGGGGCATTTTCAAAAATTTCACAAAAACGGCTGTTTGTTAAAATTTCTTGTAACTTAGTAAAAAAGACTTATAAAGGTGACATAGATCTGATTTTAAGAGTAAATGAATTTTCGAAAATTTTAAAAGTTTGAATTTTTATCAGCCTTTTCCTACAACTCCAAAATTGACAAGGTTTTCCTTTCAAGTAAAATTTGTTACCAATATTTAGTTTAAAAAAAAAAAAGTCCTCTAACCCTTAGGGTAGTCAGAACCTTGGTTTTTGTGGGTCCTTGTTACAGAAAAATCGTGCGACTAAAACGTTTGTCTGTGAACAGCAGCTAAACCGTTCAGCCGATTTTCTCCCTCGATCTGGGTGATGTCACGCCTCGAATTTGATATTTTAATTTTGGGGAATACTTTACATTAAACCGCTAAGACATTTTCCAAATTTTCAAAAAAAAAAAAAGCCTCCATGAATTTTGATTAATTTTGTTATTGGATAGTGTGAAGGACGTTTAAGAGTGCTGCAGGTCTCATGTTCGTTGAAAACCCTGATTTTTCGAAAATTACGAAAGTTAGAAATTTTATCGGAGTTTTCTTACAATTACAATATTAAAGATAGAGAGTTTTCCCCTTAATGAAATCAGTTTTTAAAAGATAATTTTGAAATAGTAATGAACAGTTTTTCGAAAATTTGAGTTTTTTTACGCGTACATTTGCACCAAAATACGAGCGAGAAAATTCGTTTTAGCACCATAAGTTGATTTCTGGGTTATTTTTTTCTGGATAAATATATAATTTGTTGTAAAGTAATAAACAATTTATTTCTGGAGCGTTTATTTTTTTGTTGCTTAATTCACAAAACTATTATCGATTTGTACTTGAACAAAAAGTAGATAAGTTTTAAGATCTTTTTCATTTAATTAAGATGGAACTATTACGGGGGAGGGGGGGGGAATACAATTTTGTGCTTGGGGCCCCGCGATACTTCAATCTGACCCTAGCAATGGACGTCAAAATCCGACACCAACGCTCCCGCAATCAGGCGCGTCCCGGAGGGCGCAACGAGCCGCCGACGGTAAGTGGGGAGAGAGGGTGACATGGGCTGTCCGGGTGACGCCGCGTCGAAGGCTGAGTTGCCGACGTTTCGACAATCCTGTCGTGGTCTTCCTCAGGGCTGGTATGCGCATACCAGTCGTAGGCTTCCGCGACCAGTCATGTCGCTACCAGCTGGTATGCGCTGGTCGCTAATCAGCTGGTATGCGCATACCAGCCCTGAGGAAGACCACGACAGGATGGTCGAAACGTCGGCAACTCAGCCTTCGACGCGGCGTCACCCGGACAGCCCAGATCACCCACATGACTGGTCGCGGAAGCCTACGACTTCATTTAAGCGGGGTGAAAGGCGTGCAGGAGATATACTCTCAGTGCAGGACCGCCAAATGGAGTGAATTCCGGATGGGGCCGTCCTTCCCTCTCCATCAACAAAAATGTATATGCAGGGAAAAATACTAACTTTTTTCTTCTTCAAATGGTCATGTTTATTATTGAACTGTTATAACATTATTTTATGTAACTTCAGCAGTTCATTTTTGCAATGGAAAAACGGTGCTGCGCTTTGTATTTTTTGATTTCAACTCATTTAACAATTTTTGCTAATTGATTTCGTCGGTCATGTCGCTGTAAACATGTTAAATCACATTACTGTTAAGCCGATCTTGCAACATACTCCTTGTTGATAGCCTATATGTTTTGAGTCGATGTGATACCGAGAAACATCTTAATTTCTGGAATCTGACATTTATGAAATATTTCTCTCACAAACTTTTTCATGAGGATATAGCTACCCACATTATCCGCCAGGCCTGGAGGCGGTGGTATGTATTCCCACAGGCCAATCCCTCCCTTGACCGACCTCCGTTGACCCAAATAGCATGAAGAGTAGTTTCCACCACCGACAACACAAATGTGTGCACCTTTGTTGGCAGTTGGACACTAGGGATCATGAGAATTTAAAAGGGGTCACTTAGGCACAGGTAAAAACAATGCAAGTACTTGTTTTCCATTTCAGTAGCCAGCAAAACAGCGTTTAGGAATTAAACATGCACATGCACATACACACACACACACACACACACACACACACACACAGAATATGAGATGATATTTAATAAAAACATGTTGAAAGACCAGTTAGATACTGAAAAAGATTATTTCAGCGACATTGAAAACTGTGAAATTAAGTCAAATTTGTAAAGTGTACATGCAATTTTGTGGATGCTATGTGGGTTTTCTCATTGAAGGAAAATAAAACTGGACATGTGGCACTTTGGCAGTGCAGTTAAATAGCGTGAGTTCACATTTGAAATTTACTCGCACCCTTTTCAACCCAGAACTGCACTTCCCTGAGATCTCAAGAGCCTAGATAATATATCCTCAAAATTTCAGCAGTAATTTGGCTGACCCATGGTACTTCTGCAGAAGAAAAGGCCTGGCACCCTAGGTAATATCATCATTCGAAACATCTCAGTGCCTCATCTAGAACGAAGTCCATAACATCATTTGGACCCATCATTCATGTTACAAAAGTCCCACAAGCCATTCAGAGTCATTATTATACAAAGAAATACATTTACAATGTTATAATGTATATATTAATTCATATTAACTTTGTTCCTATTACAATTTTACATGCAGAAATATGTTTTCTTTTTATTTAGAAATTTTTCCGATTTCTGCCTCATTTTCCATGGAATTTTTCAAATCATTCTCAAATCCATTGATTAAATATTCATGAGATGGGGGGGGGGGTGCAATTGACAACTTAAAAAAAACAACAATTATTTACTCATTTCCGTTATAAAACAAACCATGGAATATTGGATGCCGGGGTACTGAAGGTTCCATATCATATTCCCATACAGAACATACTTGAATGCACTTATTTTTGAGAAAATATTTGAAAGTAACTGGTATTTTCTATTAACTTACTAAGTTCATTGAATAAAGCTAACAGATTACTTTTGTAGAACTGCTAAATTGAGAAATGTCTGAAATTTTGTTTAAATCAAATTTCATATGGCAAAAGATTTTATAATTTGAGGGGTTGAATACTCACTGATACTAGCAACCGTAAGCAGGAGATTGTGTAAAAATGAAATTCATCTTCCTCATCAATCTTGTTAATCAAATGCAGCCAATCACTTCACAGACAAATGTGTAGTTCCTTTCTCTAGTCAGAGGGAGTGGGAAAACACCCCAACTGATATTCCAGTGTTGCTGTGTCAGAAAATTTAATAATAGATATTAGATATCTACAAGTGGTCACTTTATTTAATGTGAAGATGGCAACAATGCAATAAATGTGTAGTTACATATTTCATATGCCACTAAAAATATGCATTTAGGATGATCTTCAGTATTTGAAATACAGTGAAAATATGAGTATGTTCTATTATCACAGAGCTTCATTACAATGCAAACAATTTATAATAAAATCTAAAAATTTTGTTTACAGTGAAATTGTCCCAATTCTTGAGAAACTAGGTCCATCGCCAGTGGTATAGCATGGAAGAAGCAAATAAGGTGAACTCGAGCACCAAGACAAAGTTGTGCTTGAAGTGATAATTTTAAATCTGGTTTTTGTAGTTAAAGACCTTGATAACCACAGAAATTTTCTAGCTGAATTAGTCAAATCCTTACTTTTTAAAACTTGCAATTAAATTGCAACTATTACCAAAGTATTTTAGAACACACAAGCATTGTTATAAATAACACCATACAGAATTGAACTCTGGCTTCCCTCCAGTGTTTGTGTAATGTGAAGTAGACTATGCTCAAAAAGACTCCTCACTAGATTTTGTGATGCACATGCAGAATTTCTTTTTGAAAAACGAAGTCCGATTGACTGATTGAGGTCAATCGTCACTAAGGTACCTTACTTGCATTTCTCAGATCGAACTGAATTTGCCTTATTTTACGTGGCGAGACTCGGGCCATCAGGCCCGCTCTTCCGTCTGACCACGCAAATTTCGGTACGCTCCTTTCAACAACTAGCAGAGAAAGGAGGTATTTCTTGGGCGAGAAAGAGGAGATTAGAATTTAGCTCAGAGGCGTCATTTAGGCTTCAGGATCTTTTACATGCGAGTAAATCTACTAAACAGGACAGCCGGCTTTACTTCCCCTCTGAAGGAAGGCGTACGAAGGATCCTTTGTCAGAAAGCTGTCAGATAATGATACTTTCATTTTCCACTTTCATATTCAGATAATAGATCTTTTCATTTTATGATATATTTTTAAAGATAAAAATTCTCTCCATCTTTAATCCATTTCTATAATGATCTTAATGAATACCATTTGTGCTTTGAGAAGTTACACATTGATTTTGCTACTACAATTCTTTTGTATTTGCTATTTCAAATGCACTTTCAATACCTTCTACAGAATAAAAATTCACAAGCAATTTTGATCTTAAAAAATTTGATGTTTGATAAACAAATCTATCTACCTAATAATCTTTAGTTTATAAAGTAATGTAATGGTGCAACTTATCACAACTGCACTTCACAAATTAGTTCATTCTTGAAACATGCAAAGAAAGATGTAATAGGCATTTCTTTTACCTTGTCCCAATATATTTTGATATATCTTTTCATTATTTAGTAATACAATCATAATTAAAAATTCAATATATAAGTCAGTCTTTCTTTATTTCAACATTTACTTCTCTTGGGAAATCTTAAGCATAATCTTAAAACATCAAATTAAGTTTTCAACAAAGTAGAGGAAAAGGGTTCTCAATATATTAGAAATAAAATAATTTTGATAATGCAGGAGAAGAAAATTTCATTTATAAATCAGTATAAAAAAACTAATAATAATTATTGTAAAACAGCAAAAAAGGAATTAATAGTCATCACAGAGGATTGTACTTTTAAGTAGTATCGAGAAATATTGGCAAAAAAACTTGTACAAAAATATAGAGATAGATTCAAAACTACCATAATTTCTCATTCTCTAGACTGATTTCTCTTTAACAGAACCATCTGCCATTCCATAGAACACTTTGTGAGTCATATTTACAAATAATCCTGTTTCAACCACTCCTAAAACAGAGATAATAGTTTTATTAGTCTGCTCAAATGTAATTAAACCAAGGGCTTAGCTCTTAAATAGTCCTATGCCATTCCAAATTCATTCTGAGATACAAAAAAAGAATATTTCAATCGAACATTTGTGGTCACAGAGTTAAGCAGAAATGTATTCTTTGTTTATTTCTTACTGCAGCACCACAATTCTCGCACAAAATGCAATATCCGATAGTGAGTACATTAGTAGGAATACAGTATTGTTGCTGAAAACATGGCTTAGCACTATGTAGAGTAGAGTCCTTCAAATAAATCTACAAAAAAAGAAGAGTAATTAGCATCATACCTGGTATCATTTTTATTTTAGTGTTTGTAGACTCCCAGTCATATGACTTTTCAGGAAATATCCAATCTAATATGAAATTACCATTGTCTGTGACAACTGGACCCTGCAAACATTGTTACTCTACAGGTGTTTGGAAAAAATGCAACATTTACAAATAAGAATTGTAACGCTATAGATGAAAATTGCTGTTAAGCAAAATAAAAGGTTTAAAAATTCAATTATTTTAAGCATTATTGTAAAAAATGGGCTATTCTTATGATTTATAAAAATTAAATTGAATAATTTATACACACATTATTTGATTTTTCATGTGCAAAATGGTTCTTTTACAAGACAAACTCATAGCTTCCAGAAGAAAACATTTGAAAGTACCACAATTTGAACATGGAACTTTGTACAAACATCATGGAACAAAAAAAAAAACAAGGTTGTACCAAAAGGGGCATATTAATTTTGATATTACCCTTCACTGAAACATAATGGAATGTTATAAATGGTATTTTGCTTGTTTAAAGAACTGACTGTCCCATTTGGGAATTGAATCTGGATCTTCTAGTGCTCTAACTACTTGAGCTTCCAAGACAATCACCTCTTCGAATAGCCTGCAGGGGATAAACTTCCTGTTGATGTGATGACCAGGTGATAAAATGTATGGTATAACTGAATGTATTTACACTTTTAAGTGAACAGGATTTGCATGTATTAGTTATATATTACACACTCAAACATGAATTGATACACCTATGTATTGTAAGTCTCAAACATGCACTCACAGCCTTTTGTTTAGCCATTCTCAGCTCTGCTTTCCCTCCCAAATCTTCTTCAATTTTTCTCTGGACAGGAACAAATGCCATTGGAATTACTTCTATAGGAACACCTTTTTTATACTTTTCTCCTAATGCCTTTGAGTCTTTCCTGAGGAAGATTGAAGAAACATTTACAATTGTAATACTTAACAACAAAATTTTAATTCAGATTAACAAAAGTAAAAACTTACATGAAATCACATACTATTATTAACTGCTTAGCACAAGAAGCAACAATTTTTTCCTGTGTTAAACATCCTCCTCCTCCTTTGATAAGAGTCAATTTAGCATCTACTTCATCAGCCCCATCAATGGCACAATCAAGCTGCAACATATATCAGCATTGAAAGAAATTGTTGGTACAGTTTCTTTCTGTATTATTATGGATTTCTTTTACATTTCTTTCAAATAACAAACTCTCTACAGAAACCAACCTTTGGGTTGCGCTCCAAGTCACTTAGTATCAAATTATGTTGTATTATCAACTGTCTAGCTTGAAAAGAGGTTGGTACACAAACAACACTCAGGTTTTCCAACTTGACTCTTTCCGCTGAAATAAAACTTTTTTACAATAACAATACACAGCAATAAAATTCAAAAGCCCATTTTCACAAAATAACCAATACACACTTACCTAACCTTTCAACTGCGTACACAATTGTGGAACCACTTCCAATACCCAGAACAAAATTATTCTAAATACAAGATTTTATTTTATTATTTTTTCTTTCATAGCACAGCATATATAACCTACAACTTAAATAACAACTTACTTTCACATATTCGTCGACTGCCTTAACAGCTGCCGCTTTTTTCGCTGCATCAACCGAACCCATTTCGACTGAAGAATGCGACAGATGATGAGAACACAAGTTTTTACAAGAGTGCGTTTTAACCTGACACCAGAGAGCACACCTTGAGACGCACCTCACACTTGCCGTTCCGATGGCACGGATGGCACAACAATCTGAAGCATGCAAGTAGCGTGCAACTCTTATGCTCACGGCGCCTACCAATGAGTACGCGCCTACAACAGTTGCCTTAGCCATGGCCATGGTCCTGGACTCTTCCGTGAATGGTCTCGGTGGCCGTTGCTTTATGTTTTAGGAGCTCCATCTGTTGAGTAATTCTGTAATGTGGCGAAAGGCATTAACTTTAAATTGTGGGAGTTGCGCTCCCTAATTTCATTGTGATCGTTTACTTTCTGCTTAGGGCCCGTTTCACAGAAGTTACAAGTCTTCAAGTTACAAGTGAATTTACGGTTAACTTGTGAGAACCGCGGAAACCGCGTTTCATCTTTCAACTATTTATATTTAAAATGACGGGAAGGGATTCTGGAACTCAAAAAAACGTGCGCAGATAATCTTCTCCCCCATACGTCGCATACAGTTTTTACTTTTTTTGTGCTAAATAAATCTAAATCTAAATCTAATCATATTAGTTAATCACTAATAGTGACGAGTGAATGCCCAGTAGTTCACAAGAGAAATTCTACAAGAAACAAGTGTTTCTGTTTCTCAGATCTCACTGGTGGTCTAATACAATTGTAAATGACAAGAAATTTGTTACGAGCCTACAGATACGTGAAGGGTTGAACGATTTGCGATTACAAGGAACGATATTTTTATATTTGTGCGTTCATAGGTATTTAGAATTAGGAAATAGAAGTTTTATCCTATTAGTGATAGTGAATTAGATATTGTTAATTACCTTATGCTCTCGAATTTTCTCCAAAACGTACATTTTGTTGCCTCTGAATGCCATTGCGAAGAAATTTAAGAATAAAATACAAAAGTAAGAATAATATGTAAGAAGGGTAAAGGAATGTTCAAGAGAAAATGGAGTCATTTTAAACTGAAAGAAGAAAAGTATAATCTGTAAAGAGAAGCCTGAAATTGAAGTGAAAAGGGCGGAAAGTAAAAAAGAAATAGAATTGGCAGTAAAAATTAAGGCTAAAATGCCAGAGACAGAAAAAAAAAAAGAAAAAAAAAACCAACCAGAAAAGACGCGAGACGGACCCGAAAAAACCCAGGCAGACAGTCGACTCAATTCCAAGGAACACGCAATTTATTTCACATAATAATAATAATAATAATAATAATAATAATAATAATAATAATAATAATAATAATAACAATAATAATAATAATATTTTATTGGTCACATATACAATTACAATCGTGTATGACGAGTCAAATATGATGTATGTAAAGGGAATACATTTGCACACATCTTCTTGAATTCAGAGAGTAAAGGTACATTTACTGTCCAGAAGGAAAACAAGGGACCATCTCAGCACTTGCTCAAAGCAAGGAAGTTATAGCCTCCTTGGTTCAAATGACCAGAAAATAGAATTGCATTGTGAGTAATTCACTAGTATCCACAAGTGTAAGATATTTGTGAAACAACTTACAAGTACTTGTGATTACTAGTACTAATAACTTGTAACCTTTGTAAAACTGGCCCCAGTAGTTCACGAGTGAAATTCTACAAGGAACAAGTGTTTCTGTTTCTCTAGTATTCCGTCTGTGTCTGTCTGTGTCTGTCTGTGTCTGTTGTGTCTGTTGTGTCTGTCTGTGTGTCTGTTGTGTCTGTCTGTGTGTCTGTTTGTGTGTCTGTCTGTTGTGTCTGTCTGTGTGTCTGTCTGTGTGTCTGTTGTGTGTCTGTTGTGTGTCTGTTGTGTGTCTGTTGTGTCTGTCTGTGTGTCTGTTGTGTCTGTCTGTGTGTCTGTTGTGTCTGTCTGTGTGTCTGTCTGTGTGTCTGTTGTGTCTGTCTGTGTGTCTGTTGTGTCTGTCTGTGTGTCTTTTGTGTCTGTCTGTGTGTCTGTTGTGTGTGTCTGTTGTGTGTGTCTGTTGTGTCTGTCTGTTGTGTCTGTCTGTGTCTGTCTGTGTCTGTTGTGTCTGTCTGTGTCTGTTGTGTCTGTCTGTGTCTGTCTGTGTCTGTCTGTGTCTGTTGTGTCTGTCTGTGTCTGTTGTGTCTGTTGTGTCTGTCTGTGTCTGTTCTGTCTGTCTGTGTCTGTTGTGTCTGTCTGTGTCTGTCTCCGTCTGTGTCTGTCTCTGTCTGTCTCCGTCTGTGTCTGTCTCTGTCTGTGTCTCTGTCGGTCTCTCTCTGCATCTCACCGCCATTTTCTTATCAAGAATTGATAAGAAAATATGTGCCCATTGTTGGCAGCGCTCATCGTTGTATGCGTGCTTTGTTGTTAGCGCTCATTGACTGTGATGCGTTGATGTAGACAAATGCAATATATTACAATTTTTCAGTTTCCTGATTTTTCAAAGCAAATTTCCATATTTGACGAGGCTTTTCTCTTCTTAAAGTAATATTTCGATTCTATCACGAGGAAAACGAAAAATTGAGAATTAAAAAAATAAAAGGTGCGGTGATAGATGGCATCTGAGGATGAGACAAGACCGGAAAACTAGCCCAGACCAAAGAAATTAGAAAAATAGTACAAGAAAGTGTGCTATTCTGTAGCTCCACTAGTTTTAAATATTAGATGAGTTGTTATTTGATTATGCTCTTCTTTTAAAGCTTTGCTACAACAAAGAATGTTACACTAAATTACAAATTTTGAAATATTAATTTAAAATTGGGTATCTTTGCGTGTACGTAGTTTCTTCTATGGTCTGAAAGTCTCCATCATTAAACTATTAACCAAACAGAAACATATGTGCCAGTTTAATCACGCGTCTAATGGAATAGTATAAGATGAAATTTAAATTAGAACACATTTTTGAGTCAATATAACAAATCTGACAAACAAATGAATGTGCATTTGAATTGGGAATATCAATTAACTTGTTTTGTTTTTTTGCGTTATTTTACAATCGACATGGGTGCATCAAAGAAATGGTGGATACATATTCTAGAAAAGAACATCTTTCCAGTGTATTCTACGCCAACTGTAGGATCTCTTAAATTCAGTAAAACGTACTACGCTGTATCTTCATTATGCGTGTGTGTATTAGGAGGTGGCTTGGTGTATTTAGTTTTTAACAAAATCTCAAAAGGTGCAAAAAACGAACTTTCATCGCAAGCTTCAATGTACGACTCACCAACTAAAACATGTGGAAAACGCCTATTTTTCATGACCGACCCGACAAAAACTAAGAAACAAGAGCAAAAGTCTACGGAGCTCACTGCTCGGGAAGAAAGATTCATCAAATTTGCATCTGTGGAATATGATGGACAAGTTTACATGACACCCAGGGATTTCCTTGATGCGATGATTGTTCAGGAACCTAGACCTAGATTAAAACGCAAACTATTATCTGAAAGAGAATTGGAAAATATTAGAAAAGCTGCATTAGACTTTCAAGTTGACAAACAAAAGTTAAAGGAAGCTGATAAAATGTTTCACAGCCTTCAGAATAATGGGATCGTGTCCTATATCGAATATTTGTTTTTGTTTTCATTTCTTATTAATCCTAAAGCAGAACGTCAAATTGTCTTTAACATGTTTGACAAAAATAAAAACTCGTATGTGGATAAACAAGAATATCTTGAAATGGAAAAGATTTTTGGCAATGTCTGGAAAGCAAAAAGAGGAGTATCAGAAAATCGAACTAGCTTAACTAAAGATTACGTAGACGATGAAACAGGTCTCCAGAGAAGGCATTTAGTCGACACTACTCTCCTCACATACTTTTTTGGTAAAGATGGAAAAAAATTGTTAACCTTTGAAGATTTTGATGAATTTATTTCTAATTTGAGAACCGAAGTTCTGGAAGATGAGTTCCACGAATTTGCGAAAGGAATGAAAACTATAAGTCCAGTGGATTTCATAAGAGCATTAATCAGATACTCTCAGCAGGATACGACTAACAACAATATATTCATTAAAAGAGTTCTGGAAGGCGTTAGTGAAAACATAGAAATTACATTTGAAGACTTTTTCAATTTTTGTAATTTTCTTAACCATTTGAATGATTTTTCAATGGCCGCCAGGATGTCTGTACTTTTGAACAAGAAACTGTCTGAAGAGGTGTTTCGTCGCATAATACGTATCTGTGTGGATAGTGAAGTGAATCCATCTGTTATCCATACAGCTTTCGTAGCATTTGATGACAAAGGAAACGGAAATATGAACTATACAGAATTTATATCCGTTTTGAGAAATCGTCGAAGTAGGTTGTTTAAGTTTCATACCAGACTTACAGGTTTAAGAGCATTCAAAAAATGTATGCGAGAAGAAATACGAAAATCAACCATTAAGCAAAAAATTGCTTAGATGAAATTATTTTTTCGCTTTTGACGTATTGTATAATTAATATAGATGAAATAAAAAGAAAGGATAGATAAAAAATTAAATGTTGAAAATCTTGACATTACAAATGCTGCAGATATAAGAGGTATAAAAATACATAAAATTGACTTGTTGTTTTACTTTACGGTTTATATTCTAATCCATCTATGTCCATTCTGTTGAGGTAACTCGTTGGAATTAAATCTGATCATTTTTAAGAAGGTAATAAGTCGACTGGTATCGATCTGTCAGTTCGAATGGAAACAATTCATCAAGAACATTTATTATACTAAAACAAATAAACGTTTTAAAAAATATTACATTTGCTTCAAAAGACAATGTAGTATTAGGCGCGTAGTTCTACTCCAGGCAACTCAAACTTGAGACTTTGAAGACTCATTATATAGATTAGTTAGTTGTGGGCCCTTTATCACAACATATTTTGAGCAGCTTAATAAACATCTCCGACTCGGGGACTTCAAAGCCCTTAAACAATTTGAATGTGATTTTTAGTATTTTCTGAATTAATTTCAATTCTTGTGTGTAATTGCTGAAGTTATTTTTTAATTATAATAAATAGTTTTAAGGCTTATTATTTTTTAATTAGTATTGAGTTTCCCAAATCTGTGTGTTTTGTTTTTCATTTATCAGCATTAACGTAACATCCTGCTATTCTATCATTGCTCTATTTCCGTACGTTCACTATCAATATGAAGACTCTCTTTATTTCCATCTCTAAACTCATTTTTGAATGCTCTATTCAAAGAAATTCACTGAAAAGACAATAACAATGAAAATGACACACATGCGATTTTCACCTGAGAAACAGACTATTTGCACCATAGTGTATCCTTCTGATCGTTTTGGAAACCTCCACCACTTCA